TGGCTAGAATAAAGGCAACATCTATGTAGCTTTATTGTTTCTATTAGTACTGTGTCCATGCCACTTAAGTATATAACACTAAGTGCATTGTTATCTGTTTCTGTTTGAAAGATTTTAAATTAAATAATTGTTTCCAATCAGAGTTTTTAACATTACCTCTTACTGTAAATGCTAGATAAGCTAAAAAAGAAGTGTGAAATTTGAAACTAGTTTCTCAAAAATATTCTAAATCATCTTGTTGCTACTTGCATAATTAACATAGTAGTATAAAGTACATAAGCCCTATAAGGTTCTGTCAGTAAATGATAAGGGTATTGCAGTTGTCCTCAAAAGCAAGAATTTTGTGGTTTTTAGCTATTAAAAACATAAAATAAAATGTGTGTATTTTCAACACTCTTTTATAAATATACAAGTCATTAAATCCATTTACCTCATTTGAAATTGCTTTTCATGTTTTTATGGAGCATTATACAAGGTTGCTTTGAAACAGATTTCCTAGAAAACTGTTTATTTTTTTCTATAATGTAATTATATCTGTCTTTCACTGTGAGAAAAAAGACAACTATTAGACAAATGAAGCAGAGGAAATTTTTTGCTCGGTAGTAATTTTCCTCATATTTGCATTGTCTAACTTGTTCCCCATTAATTTAATCATGACTATATAGAAGAGAATGCTTTTTTTCCCTAATGTGCATGAAATATTGCAGTTGTTCTTTCTTACAGTTCTATAACACTTTCACATTTCTAACGCTGACCTTGATTTAAATTCACATTCATAGAGACCTTTTTCTGTTAAAGTAATGTAATACAGTTGAAATGCATAATCAGTTGATACATCAAAATTCTGTGGAACAATATTACATTTAGAAAATACATTCTTTAACTTTGCAGTAGGCTGAATTTCAGTAAATACACTTCCTTACACCTCTTACATCTTATTAAAGAAATACTGCAGCTGTACTTACAAGGAAATCAAATATGCTGTTTGCTTATGTTGAAGTTAGCTGGAGGAAAAGTGTGTTCCCTCTGTTAGCTGGAGCCTTAATTGATTAAACTTTGAAATGGCCATTAAGAGTGTGTCTCTCTGTATTAATAACTCAATTAGGAATTAGTAATACTCACTACTAGTATAGCATAGCAAATTATACTATACCGTGTGCATTCCACAATCATGCATAGTGTTCAATTGTTAACACTCTCCCATGGCAGATTTTGACCTGAGCCAACCATAATTCTCCCAGATGATGCCTGGACATGTAGCACAGTGCATAAGTAGTATGGAGACTTCCTTCAGAGGGAAAGGATGTAAGCCATGATGTGTCAGTTTCTTCTCTGAAGTAGCAAGTGACAGGACAAGAGGAAATGGCCTCAAGTTGTACCAGAGAAAGGTTTAAATTGGTTATTAGGAAAACTTTCTTCACTGAAAGGGTTGTCAAGTATTGAAACAGGCTGTTCAGAGAAGTGAATGAGTCTCCACCCCTGGAGGTATTTAAAAGATTTGTAGATGTGCTGCTTAGGGACATGATTTAGTGGACTTGACAGGTTTACAGTTGGACTCCATGATATTAAAGATTACACTTGGACTCTATGGTCATAAGAGCCTTTTCAAACCTAAGTGATTCTGTGATTTTATGATTCATTTACTTTTAAGCTCTTAAAATCAAGGAGAAGGTCCCTGTCCCATTTGATTTATACTATGAAAAGGAGTCTTGGATTCTGTCTCTCAGCTGATCCCTTCCATATCCACGCTGTTTTTCCTAGCTCCTTCGGTGTTTTCAAAGTATCTGGGTTTTTTGTTTATGGCCAAAAGTGTCCAGACATGAGTCACAGAGAAAAGATCACTGTCACTAACCTGTGTTTTGTGCTGTTGCCAGATACTCTACCTCAGACTGATTGGTGTTTTCATTCTTCCAATCATGTCTTTCTGTAGCTCATCTGTAAAAAGTAATAATATCTTTTGGGAAAAAAAAAAAAAGGTAAAAAAATTAAGTGGGTGTCTCTCTTGATCCTTGTTCCTTTGTCATACATAAAAGCCCTCCCTTTGAAATCTGATATTATACTTTGTGATAAATATTATTATACTTTGCTTATGCATTCATATTTACTTTGACTCCTGTTTGCTACACCATAGCTTCAACCTTTAGTCCATGTTTTTACTCACAAGCAGCATTTTAACAAGAAGCACAAAGATATAGCAACTGATATTTTGTTATGAACATAAGATGTATGTAGGTATAGAGAATCTTATTTTGTACAAATTAGTGAACTGACTTCTGAATGAGCTATCAAAATATATATGTTTTCCTACAAAAAGGATAGGACAAAATGTCTGAATTATGAGAGATCTTAAATAAATTGTCTGAAGGAAAAGGCAATCTGCTGTATAAATATTTCAAGTTTTTAAATGGAAGCCTTTACATTGATCTGCACATAGAGGCCTGGCCTTATTTTGTAGCAGATAATACTATGTCAAAGCAATGTTTGTTTCTACTCAGCAGCTGTTATATTAATACTAAATTATGTCAGATTTAATCTTGGATATATTCAACAAGAGCATCCAGTTGTGCTGACAAACCTAAAACAATTTTCAGTTAAATATGTTCTACCACAAATCATTTGGGCACATTGCCTCTCTGAAGGATGACAGAGTCACTGTACAAGCTCAGCTTTATAATTCTCACTGGCTGTTGAATTCTCATATTATACCCAGGCATCCCAGCAGTAGCCTCAATAGGTATCCTACTGGAACGTTGCAGTAGCAGAGGTAGACAGTGAGGCATTTTCTCAAGGGTATTATTTTCGCAGTCATTTTAATTGCACATGTCTGATTCACGTGTTCATTTGTACTTTTTCAAAGGGAATGCAATCTAATTTTAAAATACTCTCAGATCACTGGAATACTCATTTTACATGGTGAAAGAACAAGACAATAAAGTGGATAATCAGGTTCTCAGAGTTTCATAAGAACTGAAATTTTGCTTGGAGAAGAAACAATAAAAGTCAAGGTTCGCTTGTAGAGTACTTCAGTGTTCTGTAAATCCTGGGTCAAACACGCTGCACAGTGAGGGCACCTTGTTAATTGCAGTGATGCTGTAATGAGGAGAGGACATAAAGATCAGGAGAACAGTGTGTGAGAACTGGAAGAAGAGCAGGCAGCTGTAGTCAGTGGAACAAAATCGACTCTTCTGGAGAGCACTTCATCAGGAAACATGCTGGAGTGCTCTCAGGCACTCTCTAGAGAAGCCTTTCTACTTCCCATTACTTACTGCAGAGGGAGCATAGGAAACTATATGTGCCAAAAATGGCATGGAAGAAACCCTTCTCCCCTTCCCCAGCTAAATCCCCAGTGCTTTAGGATGCTCATTTGAAATGTAGAAAAGTTCAGTTTATTTTTCTATGAAAGTCTAAATACTTGCCATGCTCCTCTGCTATATGCCTTAACACCTTTCTAGTGTGGTTTTGGAGTTTTTGAGTTTGGCTTGCCACCTTGTCTGTTTTTGCAGTTCCAGTTTGTATAAATAATTATTCAGAGGCTAGAACTCGAGTTCTCTCTTCTGATTAACAAAAAATAAAAAAGTTTGTAATCTTTTTAATCTGCTGTGACAAATACTTGGTTGTTTCTTTATGGTCTGCAGTACTATGGATAGTTTTGCATGTGAATAGCAATTGCCCTCTCACATGGTGTCCCAGTCCGCAGTTCCCAAGAGTTCCAAGGAGCAGTATGTCTCTAGGAGTTTAACCTGCTGCCGTGTCTTGATTTTGGAACAAACATTAGTGTTACAGATAGTGTCAGCAGAATCAGGGAGTTTGATGTGCTAGGTTAGGATGGGAGGTTGAGCTCTACACCTCAGTTCTGGTTTCCAGTTCCAGTCTCTGCTCAGAAGACTATACAAAGAGAAAGACCATTTACAGCAGCAATTAAGAGACATCAATCTGTTCAATCTGTAACCTGAAGATTGAAGGAAATTCTTAACATAGACTGGTTTAAGTAACTTCAGGAAGCACAAATATCTCTTTATTTAACATTTGTAAGGTAGCTGCTTCTTTGCAACTTTAACTTCTTGAGGTCTTGATAGCGTTGTGTTTCACATTTGTAGCCATAGCTGAGGAAGTCCTCTCTTCAAGGTGAATTAATGCTGATCACTGTGAACTTTCTGATCAGTTTGGTATCTGGGAAGTACTTTCTCAGCTGATGTCCATTTACTGAGAATGCACCATTTGGATTTCTAAGGCTATATCCTTACAGGTTTTATAGGTAACCCATGATGATGATGATGGGGCTTGCAGGCATCTAGTTTTTACTCCTTCAACATTCTTCTACATTAAAGCTTGGTCCTGAATGCAGTAAAAAATAAGGAGGGAGCCAGAATAATTCTGCCATGGTTAATATTAGCTCTCATGCTTGGTTGAGGGGGAAAACCTAGTACATTTCAAAGAACATATTTCCCTTAAGTTTCATTTCTGCCACCTCTTCACAGAGAAAGGAGGAGAAGAGAGTTTGATAGTGTACTGCCAGTTAATTAAATTTTAGGTGTTCAGGCTAGAAGTGACAAAGTATCTTGATGTTAGGTATTTGGGTGGAATCAGAAATTCAGGAGTAGGAGCCTAGGTTCATATACAGTACATAAGCTAGCACCTCAGCGTGGCAATCCATGAAGTCTTCTATATTCAATCTACAGCTGTCTATTAGAGAGAGTTCCAGAGCAGAGAGAAGCTAAGATACCTAACTGAAAGCTAGGTACCATATAACTCTTTATGTCCAAGAACTTCTGGATCTCTGCTTGGATTTCATTATAGCACATGCTGTAACTATTATCACTGGTTATAATATGTACACTGCTGGTATTTCATAGTATTATTAAGGTATAATAATTCAATTCTCCATAATATCTGCATATTGTTATTCTCTTATTTTTATTTACCAGGTTTCTTGTCTATATTTACATAACTTTCCAAGCTACCTAGTCTGATGTAGCTGAACTTCATTCTTCGGTGTGATTTACTCAATACAGCCTAAAATCATGATGAAAAAGAAGAGCATATCTGCAAGCAAAGTTTCCTTGGTCCTATTTCTGTGCCAAATGATTTCTGCATTGGATGTACCTCTTGACTGTAAGTATTAACCTGCTAAGTAAGTGCATAATAGATAATTAAATAATAGAATTAATAAATAGAAGAATTAAATAATTAATTAAATCATTAAATAATTTCTGTATTGGAAAATGAAGATAACTCCAACATGGAGCTAAACATGAAATGTGTTTGCTTGCTTCCGCCGGGACTTTGTGATTATTAATATTTACAGTAATTTACTGAAGATTTTCAAAACTGCAGATTAAAATGACTTATGTTGTTCACTTGGTAAGGGTTAATATAGGATTCTCACAAATAGTCACACTTCAGTGTGCCTTTATTGGACACTATTTGATGAAAATGAAGAAGGGCAGAGAAGCCCAGTTAAATTCTAATTATTAGTGAAATTAAGCTCATATTGACATTTTGCTGAAAACCCCAGGACAATTCCTAGTTCCTGTAAGCAATTACTGTTGTCTTCATATAAAAGGCTTCCAGGAGCTGATATGAGATCTAGTAAAAGATTCAAATACCTAAAATTCAGACACTGGAAGCCTCTTACTTTTTGATCCAGAAGAGTAAGTTATGCTCTTAGATGTCCTAAGGAGTACCTGAAAACAGTTAGTTAACTAACCTTAAGTTAAAAGCATGTGTGCTGAGCGGGGAACTCTAGCATTAACCAGTGAGGAAACATCTAGAAGAGGGGAAGTCCCAAGATCTAAAATTCTTGTCTAATATAAGACTGTGTTAGTGGGGAACCTGGAAGGTAGTAGTCCATGCTGAAAAGGAAGTAATGGTAGCTTCTGCATTTTGTAGCCCTAATAGCTAATTTTATGAGTTTATTCATGCTTCAGGTTGTCATTTTCTCCTTAAGATAAACATGGTCACATTTTCAGAATTCAGTGAACCATGTTGCACCTCACAGTGGCTATTATTTTGTTAAACTAATTACCAGAGAAGAGAACATTAGTCCTGGTGTTAAACTGATGTATTAATACATCAGTAAATTTGCCTGTGATTCTAATCTGCATGGCTTTCTTTACCCCCATGTTTTTGATACCTTCCTACCTTCCATAAAATGCATGTTTTTTCTTTAATAATCATTGCCATAAATTGCAACTGCTTTGATGTTTTTTCCCCCATACATATTTACAAGCCTCTCAAACCAATGACCTGTATTTCTGTAACAAGATCAATATATCTGAATCACATCAGGCTTCTTGAGCTATGAAAGCCTTTAGAGCAGAAAACTGTGGCTTAAACAGGGCTTTAAAAGTTCGATCAATTAATGTTTTATTTTCTAATCCTATTTTTTCTCCCTAGATATTTTTTCATTTTAAATCCATCTTGTAGTTTAGAAACTAATGTAAATTGTGCACCACTCTAATATCTTTTGTATAGAGCAATACTTCAGGTTAAATTAACCAGAAATGCATCAATAGACAAAAATGAGTATCCCTTTTAGATGTATCATGATAACTCTCAATTATCTTGTTCCCTACTACATAATGTTTAATAACTTTGTTAGGTCTGATAAAGTCACATACTTGATTTTTTAGTCAAAAATAATATTAATCAAAATTACATCTACAATGATGTTATTGCTTTCATAAATAATGGTTAGAATGGTCTCTGAGAGAGCACCACAAGAGGACTTATATTTTCTGTGGGTCTTCTCTACATACTCATGTAAGGGGAGGAGACACGTATGCAAAACATTTGAAGTAAGCAATAAAGATGTGACAACTAAGTTGCTTTTTTTTGTTTAGTTATTTTTAAAACAAAAAGAAGTTGCATGTCTGTTGAGTGGAATTAGGTGCTTTCATCTTTGTAAGAGTAATTTTAGCCTGAAGCATTCTCTTTGTTCTTCCATATGATCATATGGATGGATTGATTTTGACTGCAGCATGAGGGCAATGCACTCCATTAATTCTGATTTACTGTCTCCCCAGTATCAGTGTTTTGTGTCCTTGCAAGGCCGAAATCACATACCATGGTTGCCCTTAAAAAGTCAACACTTCAGAAAAGTTTCTTGTACCATGAACTTTGAGATAAATCTAGTAATATCTGACATGATGGAAATCATGGCTGGAATTCCAGGCATTGCTGCATAGGTTACAGTGCTAAATGTTTTAAATATTTTCTTTTTAATGGTGACCAATGTGCTTGTCAGAGATACTTATCTTCCCTCTCAAAAATGCTAGTTTTCTTTTAACTAACAAATGTTTCTCTTTAATCTCCATTTGTCCATTCAACTGCTGATTCTGATGGGGGGAAAAAAAGCAAAACTTCTAGAAGAATGTAAGTTCCTGTCCACAAAAACTAGGCTGTGTGCTGCTGAAAATTAATACTGATTGCATTGCGAATTGAATTTGCAGTCCAAAAATGTGTGATTCTGACACTTTGTTGATAACTGTGTTTGCTGTAGCTAGATGTTTTGTGCATGCAGTGTTCAGAAAATACTATTGTATATAAATCAGTGTTCTGATATTTTGAACAAATTAATTGTGTGATTTTTGATTGTGTGCTCTCTGAATATTAAGATCCTTGCTTAAAATCAGCATGAACAATGTCCTACTACTACTTTCAGGAGTAAATACATTTGATAAAAAATAAATTTATTGGAATATATGTACTTATATACTATTTTACACATGCCAGTTAGAGATACTTTTATGTCCTTAAAAAACAGTGGACACAGTCGTAGTAGTAGACCTAATCTTTTATTGGATCTCCTAACTCAGCTCTAGTGTCATGGTTAATTTATTAAGTTTTAAGTGCAGTGCTGTGGTGGTTTCACTTGGCTAGCACTTGGCTAACAGCCAGACACAGCCAATCACTCACTCCCTGACTCCCAGGCCAAGGGTAAGGAGACTCATAGGTTGATATAAGAGCAATTTAATAATTTAAATAAAATAAAAATTAAAAAAATAAAGTTAATAATAACAGCAATAAAATATGCAAATTAATTATACACACTGCAATTGCTCACCACCCACTGACCAAGCCCCCCAATTCCCCGATAACAATCCTGGAGGAGTGACAATTCTGAAAGTGAAACCACAATCCCAGAAGAGCAAGAGCCTGAGCGAAAGCCAGAGAGCAAGAGAGAGAGAGACCCTCATTTATATACTGAACATGATGTTATATGATGTGAAATATTCTATTGGCATATCCAAATGCCCGTCTAGCTTATTAACTCTTTCTGTGCAATAAAATAGTACTTAATGTATAATGGTAGGGAAAACTTAAAATAAAAATCACAGTTTTACAATTTTAACTGGCTAGAGTGAGTCATGAGAACACAGCTGACTCAAATGGTTGAAATATTTTGCTGAAGTAGCTAGAAATGACCCCAAAATAGTAGCAAGGTGTCTTGCTGGACAGACAATTTGCAACATTTAGACAGGGATGATCATGGGTGTGTTATTAAAATGATTCCTTTAGGTGACACTAAGCTATAAACAGATGAATAATGTTGAGGAAGATACCTTTCTTACTATCTTGTTATAAACAGGATTTTTTAATGCAAAAATGGGCATAAAAATGACAACAGTTTATAAATTACTTTAAATAGGTAAGCACCAGCTACTTTGTCTGGTGAATAAATTCTGTTTTGTGCTACTCATTCTAAAGTACTTGATAAATCATAAAAGTTAAATGTTTTTTTCTCCTAGGGTGTTTCACGAGATTGACTATATTTTTGGTGGGCTTTTTAAGGAGAATCAATACTAGATTTTTCCTACATGTTTATTCTATTTGAAAACTAGTTATTATTTTTGTAATTTTTTACGTAGTCTTTGACTTCTAACACTTTTTTACTCCTGAAAAGTAACTCCTAAAAGCACGCTTTGTAGATCAGCTCAATATGTTGAACACAATGAATGTGTGAAAGGTTTAAACCCATAGAGAATTTGTGAAAACATAAAATATTTAGAAATACAAAGCAATATATTTTTATTGTCCTTCTGTGTAGTAAGAAACATTTTGTGTAGGTATATGTCTCACAACTCTTCACTCATGATATGTTGGAATTAGAATTCAAGTATCCTTTCATTTTGTGAAAATCTGTTGAAGTCTGATGTATAGAAATTATATCCATTAAACTTTTTGACCAAGATCTTCATCCACTGTAAATCAGCATAGCTCAGTTGTGAGTTACTGTAGCTACACTGATTTATAAGAGTAGAGGGCTTCAGCCTCCTAATACAAAGAATACTTTAATCCCACTCTTCTATCGATGTTTTCATTGCTAATTGCCATTCTGCTTTCTCTGCTTATAAAACTGTCTTGCTGATCCTTTGGAAATATTGTTAAATTCCTCTCTGTTTCTTATATTCCATAATGAAGTGTCGCAACCTCCTACGATAACTCAGCAATCTCCAAAAGATTACATTGTTGACCCTCGAGAGAATATTGTAATACAGTGTGAAGCGAAAGGAAAGCCACCTCCTAGGTTAGTAGTGTTTTGTTTTGCTTTTGTTGGCCTAATAGCATAGGAAAACTAGGAGAAAATAATGTAACTTTTGTAAACTAACAAGTATCTGCATATGTGTCCTTGCACGTGCAGGAACATGCGTGGGCTCTTACCTTTCTAATTGAAATAGCTACAAGATAGTGGCATAAATTTTATTCTTTTCATCTTCGACATTTAAACTTTTCTATAGTCATCAAGTAACTGTAGTATTTTTTTTTTTCTCCTCAAAAGATCTAACAATAAAATAATACTTGATTATTACAGGAGTAGATAGGTAAATGCCCATGGAAAGCACTGAGAAGTATGCCATACTATGACCAGGATCACATTCCAGATTTAGGCATAATGTCTTAAGAAGAAAGGACACTGGATAAATTCAGTGTAACACTAATAAATTCAAATTTAATGTTTTGTAAATAATTCCATTTTATGAGGCTTATCTTGAAATGCATAAGCATTTTGTCAGAAGTTATGTAATGTGTATCTGGCAGTAGTCTTGATTTAGTATTTAATATTCTTCAGTTTTGGTTTTGGCAGAAATTGTAACCAAATTGTTTCAGTGTCTTGAAATACTTGAAAACTACTGCTTTCAAGATATTATGTACCTGCACTGGAAATAGCAGTAGCTGTGATGCATTCTGGCATTGCTAATTACTGCTTCTGATTTCAGAGACTATAAAGAGAAGTGTGCATCTCTCTGTTCTCAGTAGTGTTATGCTACAACTTATTAGCAAGGTCAGTGTATAATTGCTCATTCCAACACACACAGAGCTCATTAAATGTACTTCTGAATAACCAGGGTTTTTTCTACATTATTCCTTCTGCTTGCCTTGGGATCATGGTCATTATCATGATGGGCAGTGGAATGGAGAAGATGGAGATTATCTGTGATACCGTTACCCTTTCTAGTGTTCTGTTAATGGTAGGAGTGACATAAAGCTGCTGTGTTTACCAGTATTTTAATTTATCAGGCACAATGCCATTCTCAAGTGGTTGCTGACCTAGAAGATCATGTGATAATCATCGTGTGCATTCGGACAACTGTACTGCTTCTGCAGATGTTTCTCTTGAAGGCCTTTTTTGGGTTGGGTTTACCTGAGAAACTAAGAGCGCTGTCCGTGAGACTGACATATCTGAGTCATATGCCAGGGGTCCCTGCTGTACAGCCTCATCTTCCTCATCAAACCTGTGTCTCACTTTGTTCCCCTGCTACAGATGGAATGACAGGATTTAAGTGGAGAATTTTCTAATGAGTTTTATAAGCTTGTGCTTAATTTTGCTTATTTTTAAAGATACGACATCCAAATAATTTATTTCAGTAATTAGTCTGGTCCATCAGTCTTGATGTCCTGCAAAGGCATATTGGAACTTGAGCTGCTTCAAAGCTCTGAAGTTGAAGGTGAACTTTCTAGCCAGGAGTGTGAATTGTTTGTGGAGAGTAACTTATTGGTGGGAGCAGCTGGCATAAAAGTTTATGCATGTGCTGCTACCTATAGCTTGAGCAGCAAAGATTCTGACTTTTGTGTGTCTCCAATTCAGGGTTTTGTACCACATTTTTCCCCTTTCATTTGAAGCTATCTTGCAGTTCCTTTTATCCTTCAGTGTAATTGGTAGCAGAGAATTACAGAAATCCCACGTTGTGCAGCTTCACCTTCAAGGTTGTAAGAAACAGGTTCACTATTGCTTCACTATGCACACTAGTCCTCAGAAAAGCACTGCATCGTGGCACAGAGCTGCTGGTCAGGTCCAGTTCTTCTGCTCTCCCCCACCACGAAGTGCAAATAGTGTGTCCAGTCTTGTCATCCTACTGCAGAAGGTCCGACCACAATTTAAATCACTTTAAATTTGAACTTTTCTAGTGCCATATGTGTCTATACTAAATAAGCATTCTAACCAGTTAGCATATGTAGTGTTTGTGTTTAAGATTATGAAGCTGAAAAGTAATGAGTAGGAAAACTGCTGTTCACATTTGAACCTGTGAGGGCTCAGCACTTCACAGGCGTTGTTCTAGCTCTCTAACTATACTTTTGGCCATTAACAAAGAATAAGTAAGAAACTGGTGTTCACAGTAGTATAATGCGCACACTGTGAGTCTCTGGTTTTTTACACTTTATTTTGTGAGTTCTAAAAGTGTTTATTTTTAGCGACTACTTTTCAAAACATCTCTTGCTTTGAGTAACACCAGTATAAATTTACTAGATTAATTATGGGCTATAAGACTGCAAAATTTAATTTCAAGAATCATGGTTGTTTGCATTAGAGTAGTGAAAAGAAATCACACTCACCATACAGTCTCTAATTTACATGCATGACTTTAAAATGACCAAACCAATTAAAAGAAAAGCTCTCCTGCTGGGACCTGAGATGACACATTTCAGCCCAGAGCAAGTTTTTAAAGGCAGGTTTATAAACCCTTTCAACAATAGGTTTTATAATGGAAATACTAATGCAGCTTTAGCAATATCAGTTCTCACAGATGTTACTGTATCGTCTTTTGTAGAAAGAAAATCAGTTATTTTCCATATATGATTAACTTCAGAATCTTTTAATGTAATTTTTTTTTAAATATTGACTTTGAAATGACTCCTGTTAACAAGTCCAACTAAGCCTTTTATCTTAAAGTATTGCCAGTTCTCTTGTATTAATAAGTGCTCTATTACTTTATTAGTTAATTTAGTTTGGGAACAAGTCTTACTTATCTGCTAAAGAAAAAAATATCATGTCTTACTCAAAATTGCTTTTTTCTTCTTTCTGTCCATACAATCTACAAAAGGCAAATGAAGAAGAAACTTTTCTTTTTGTTTTTATTATTTTAGCTTCTCCTGGACACGTAATGGAACTCATTTTGATATAGATAAAGATGCACAGGTAACAATGAAACCAAATTCAGGGACCCTCGTCATAAATATTATGAATGGTGGGAAGGCAGAAGCATATGAAGGAGTGTACCAGTGTACAGCAAGGAATGAAAGAGGAGCAGCCATTTCCAACAATATCGTTATAAGGCCTTCTAGTAAGTGATGCTCTTAATGCTCATAAAATATGAAACACTTCAGTTTGCTTATTTTCTTATGAATGTTTCACTTTTTTTTTCCTGCCTTAAAAATTTAATTATCAAAGTGACCATGTTAGAAGGTATTGTGTAGTTTCTGATATTCACACTTATTGCATGTTCTCTCTGATATTCCTTAGACAACTTAATAACCAAAATGCTTTTCTGGGTTTTTTTTTGGTCTGTCTGGATGACCTATAATGTTTAAAATTGGGTTGTATATATGACACTAGGATTAGAATAAAATGTTTAAATCCTCAGTGCACATCGCTGATGATGACAATTTGTATTCTCTTTCTGATGCATGTATTCCATAGTTTTTTAAGTAACTTTAATACAAAACAGTTGGCCCCAAAAAGAAGATAAAGCTATTTTTTTTTTATTAGTGGCTTTTTATGTGATTTTTTATATCAGATCAGTTTTTCAAGCTTCTCAGCTTAAATATGCTTTACTCACGTTTTAATAAAACTGTCTGTATGTAATACTGTTTCAGGAAGCTCTACCTTTTTTTCTAATTTAGTGCATCACTTTTTTTTTTTTTTCCATTATCGTAGTAAAAACTTTCCGAGATACTGTTATAGATCTTTAAGTGAGTAGCCAAAATAATTTGAATCAGTCAATTATACTTTCAGCAAATCATTGCTGTACAAAATGTTTTTAAGAAAACCTACTTTTCTCTCAAGGAAACATAAATAAGAACAAAAATTAAATCTTTAGTAAACATGATAGGACTTAACATTCTGATGCATATACTTCTTCTATTTTTCTCTAATATTATGTGCATTTCTTCCTTAAATTCTGTAATTTTTGTCAATCCATAGCTTGCGTGTGTGTTAAAATTACTTTCTATAGGATCCCCTTTGTGGACGAAAGAAAAACTAGAACCAAATCAGGTTCGAGAAGGTGATTCACTAGTGCTACACTGCAGACCTCCTGTTGGCTTACCACCACCTATAATATTTTGGATGGATAATGGTGAGTTTGGTTTTTATGCAGAATTAGTTTATTTTTTTCAGTTTTTCTACATAGTTGATCATTGCTTACCAAGACCACAGATGGTGGAGTTTTTCCTTCTAAGTTAAAATTCAAAGAATTTCCGTTTCTGTAGAAATGAAGAAACAAGCAGACATTCAGCCCAAAAGCATGAAGCCAAAAGCAGCTGAAGATCTTAATGTAAGTTGTAAATTAACACACTGGGGAAGATTGGGAAGAGAAGGGAGCTCTAGAGGAAACTTCGGAAGGTCTAAATATTTACAAACCTACAAACACCGAAAATGGAACAAATGTGGAGTCTACAGCTGATAACAATGGAGTGTGTATTATAATTGAGATGAATACTTTCTTGTTTTCCCTTAGCTTTCCAAAGGCTGCCTCAAAGTGAAAGAGTTTCCCAAGGTCTAAATGGAGACCTTTATTTTTCGAATGTACAACCAGAAGACACCCGAGAGGACTATATCTGCTATGCAAGATTTAATCATACACAAACTATACAGCAGAAACAACCCATTTCTGTAAAAGTCTTTTCAAGTAGGTATTGCATTACCTAATTGCATACTTATATAGTATTTATCCAGAATTCTCAAGTTATTTGCCAAAGTTAAGCAGTGTTACGCTAGGGATTTTTGTCATTTTAATTCTGAATAGGAAATTACATTACTGTATAAAATTAAAATATTATCTCCAATTTTCCTGACATATAATTCATTTTTAAAACTGTTTTTTTTCTCTTTACCAGGCTTTGTCTTTTGAAAAAAATGTTTTGTGAGATTTGAAGTATTGAAAAAATAGTATAAAAAATAATAGTTTCCAAATGGTTTTCAAACCCAAGAATATCAAGTTCTTATGATTATTTTAACTATTGAAACAAATTAATCAATCATTTGATTAACTCACCGTGGCCATATCATCACCTTTTGATTCCCAGTACTTTGATTTATCCCTCTTGTATGCATTCTTCACGATATTCTGTTTATTTCAGTGGATTCATTGAATGACACTATAGCTGCTAATTTGAGTGACACTGATATTTATGGTGGTGAGTTATACTGGTCCCCACTGATACTCCCTGTTTTACAGTAGCATTTAGTTAACTAACTTCACCTCCATGGCTACTTAACCTTCTGCTCCCTTTTCAGTTTCTAATAAAGGTGCTATTAGTGCTAGTGATAATACATGCTTTAGAAAGGGACTGCACAGTGTGATCCTTTCAAATATTCAGTGTTTCAATGCTATTGTAACATATGTCTCAGAAAAAATAAAACCTCTTATAATAAATGAGTCCTTTCACACTGGGGCAGATATTACAAATTGTCTATTTGATTTCTTCTATACTGTGTTGCTTGTTTATATTTTCTCTCCAATTTAACTAGTAGTTGGATGTGATCATTATCACTAGGACTATTCAATATCACATGCTGCATAATAAGTAACAACAATGAAGCATTTAACAGATGCATTTCACATTTAATAATTTCATCAATGTGCCATTCATTTTTAACATATTTCATAAGTGTAAAACTGGAATTAATTAAAATCTAAACACTTTAATACTATCTGTATAAATAACTTTGTAGGGGAAAAGATTAGTGTTGTTTGTCTGGTGTTTAAGCTGATCTTTTAAATTAATCTGTGTTGAATGGTCTTTTGTATATTGTGAATTAAATCCTTCTGAACAGGTATACGTGTGTTTAGCAAGGCTGACTTCGGAGCAACACTGATACCATAACACTTGATGTTATAAACTCTCTGTGTGATATTGTGTGAGATAGATAGAAAATACATGATATTTATTCTATTTTTGTCTTTTTCTTTGTCAAATGAACATATTAAACCCTTACTTATGGAAATCTAAAATAAAACACGGGCACAGAATATTTCAATCCTCTGCATAAAAATAAGATGCCATTCAGGAACAAACAAGAAATATGTGCCTGAACACAGAATCATATATTAGCTACATTTAGTGAGGAAAACACCATTTCGTTGGCTCACAATTCAGAAATGCCAGAGGTAATTCTTCTGAATTTGCATAGTCTTGCAAAATGAGTCAGCAGTCCTTAGCAGTGCTAAAATTGGGCACATGAGTTATTGCCTGTGACTATCAGCTGTGCTCGTCACTCTAGACCATCCTTTTCTCCCAACTTTAAGTTGTTAGTGTACTAGTTTTTAAGGAATTCATAGCACATACTGTATTACTATCAAGTATTCTATTAATCTTAATCTATCAGAAAATCCTGTATGCTAATAAATAAGTTTATTATGTTCTGGCTCACTTTTTAAAAAAATACAATAATTTGCTGTAATGATACAGACTGCTACTGTATTTTAGAGCAATTTAATTCTGTATTTTAAAATTAATATAAAAGAACATTTACAGAATATAATATAAAATTAATATAAAAGAGTATTTACAGAAGCACTCTATTATTACAGAATGCACTCTTATTCTGACTGCCATGAAGGCACATGAAATACCATAATCATAGAGTCAGAATGGTTAGGGTTGGATTGGACCTTAAAGGTCATCTAGTTCCAACCCCCCTGCCATCAGCAGGGACATCTTCCACTAGATCAGGTTGCTCAAAGTCCCATCCAACCTAGCCTTAAATGCTTCCAGGGAGGGGACATCCACAACTTCCCTGGACAACTTGTTCCGGTGTCTTACCACCCTCACAGTCAATATTTTCTTCCTAATATCTAATCTAAACCTACCCTCTTTCATCTTAAAGCGATTACCCCTTGTTCTATAACTACCTGCCTTTGTAAGAAGTCCCTCCCCAATAATAATACTTCAAAAGCCAACAGAGTATTATGTCAGAAATGAATCTTATATTTATAGATTTCTGTTTACTCTGGTTATTTCTTATGGGTTAATCAGTGGTTCTTTATTATCAGACTGGAGAACAGCTTGAGTTAAAATTAAATATATAATAAGAGGAGAAAACCAGGCTTAACTTCTGAAAAGATGCCTCACGATGTCTAGAAAATACTGAACAACGCATATTGCAAAGTGGAGGGTATCTTTTATCCCCTTGGTTTGTAGTTCTAAATACAATAATATTGTTTTATTTGTGTTTTGATGGAAGCCCAGAAATTTTTGATAACTTTCACTCTTGTACTACGACTCACATCAGTGACCTCTTACTCCCTGTAATAGTTCTGCTGAAGTGAATAGCAGCTTCTTAGGATAAAAGCTCTACATCCATCCATCAGACTGCACAGTTTCCTATGTAAAAACTATGTATCAGTTGCTCCCATCTTTAATAATAACATTTTTCATGTATGTGTTCAAAATTACAGCATTTAACAGGTTGAGATATGTCTGTCAAAAACCTAATTTGTTGAGCTGTATAGCTGTGTAACATAGTGTTTAACTAAATGGCTAATGTGGAGTAAAATCTCTGTCCAAAATGTGAGAATGGATGTATGCATTTGATCAGTATTAAAATAAAATTTTAATTTTTTTTTTTTAATTTTTTCTTGTTCCAGCAAAGCCAGTTACAGAGAGGAAGCCAATTCTTCTAACACCAACAGGTAGCACGAGTACCAAAGTGGAACTCAGAGGAAATGTGCTTTTGTTGGAGTGCATTGCAGCAGGATTGTGAGTTACTTTTTAGACAGTGTTTTTCTAAATAAAAATACAGAAACAGAGGGAAATATTTCAGAGATGCTTAAAATGTTACCAGTGTATAAGCTTAGGTATTTAAAAGAAACAGAAATGTAGTATGGAAACAGCTCATTTGAGGAAGTCCACCATTTATTTGGACATCAGCAGGTTTTCAAACTGACTATGGACATAAATACAGCCTCTGCCTTCTCATAACCCCAAACCCTACACACAGGATTTACGTTGTACCATTGATTTTTAAAGGACACAAGCAAAGGATGCATAGGCTAAACTTGGACACACATCTGCAGAATTGCACTGAGGAGTCAAACCTCTTTTTTTTTCCTACATTTACAATCATTAGGCTTTTGAATTATATAAAAATAGATAAGAATCTGCTGGTCTAATCTGAAGAAGCTACTTACATATGCTAATAATTACTTAATAGATCAGCTAGGTGGGAGTTGTTAGAATATACCTTCAGCTGCTTATATCCAATTTCTCATTGTAATTGAGTTTAATTGGTACTTGTTTCTTCGATGTAATGCAAGTTTGCTTCTGCTACTTATTGTGCAAGTAGGAAATTAGTGAAGAGCAATTTAACTTTATGAATTAATTTGATCTTACATCAGTTTCATTCTCAGGAAGAAATCTGAGAATAGATTGTTTAGTGCAGAAGTGGAAAATCTTTAGTGCCTATTTCAGAAACTGGAAACATGTTTGCAGTGCATATGAAAGCATATAATGCAGGTAGCCATGAGGGAAGCCAGTAATTGCAAATCATGCAGCACAGAATCATGCTCATTTGTTCACTTGCATAAGCTCTGCAAGGCATGCTCATGCATAGCTTGACACAGCTTGATACAAGCAACAGTGCAGTGTTTCTGTCTCATTTGTGCTCTGCTCAGGTGTCTAGCACCACTAGCAAAACCACACCTATGAGTGGGAGTAGCATCAGCTCAGGTAATCTTTGTCTGCTCTATAGTTACATGCTTTTTGAATACTGCAATAGAAGTGATTCAGTGATCCAAACTCCAGTAAAATGGCTGGATAAAAACAGGGAAAAAATAGAATATTATACATTATATAGCTTTGTGTCTTTAGCTGCCATGTAATTTAAAAAAAAAAAAAATTCAATGAGGGAACCTTGCATAGTTGTCCACAAAGGGCCAGATTCAGATTTTGTTTAAAACAACTATTCCTAATTACTTATACCATAATTAAAAGTCAACTTTGCTAGGTGCTTCTTTTGTAAAATATGGGATATTAGACTGGTAAGGGAATATTTGCCTTGAGTCATTACTCTTTGAGAGAGGACATTCTAGTAAGCAACACTTTGTAATTTCTTGTAATTTTAAAAGTATATCTCCATGGGTTTGGACAACTTGCAATTTCAGTGGACAACATGGGGCATAGCCAAGATTTAGACATGGTGCATTGACAAGCAGCTGTCACAAAATCACAGAATGGAAGGTGTTGGAAGGGACCTCTGAAGATCATCTAGTCGAACCCCACTGCTAGAGAAGGATCACCTAGAGTAGAACACACAGGAACATGTCCAGGCGAGTTTTGAATGTCTCCAGAGTGGGAGACTCTACAACCTCTCTGAACAGCCTGTTACCCTCAAAGTAAAGAATTATTTCCTTATGTTTAGGTTGAACCTCCTGTTTTCCAGTTTGTGACCATTGTCCCTTGTCCTGTCACTGGACACCACTGAGAAGAGTCTGGCCCCATCCTCCTGACACCCACCTTTTAGATATTTATAAGCATTGATGAGATCCCCTCTCAGCCTCCTCTTCTCTAGACTAAACATTCCCAGCTCTCTCAGCCTTTCCTCCTATAATAGATGCTCCAGTCCCATAATCGTCTTAGTGGCCCTGTGCTGGACTCTCTCCAGTGGTTCCTTGTCCTTCTTGAGCTGGAGAGCCCAGAACTCAACACAGTACTCCAGGTGAGGCCTCACCAAGGCAGAGTAGAGGCGGAGGAGAACCTCCCTTGGCCTGCTGGCCACACTCTTCTTTATGCATCCCAGGATGCCGTTGGCCTTCTTGGCCACAAGTGCACATTGTTGGCTCATGGTCAGCCTGTTGCCCTCCAGGACTCCCAGGTTCTTTTCCCCAGAGCTGCTCTCCAACAGGTCAGCCCGCAACCTGTATTGATACATGCTATAAGCTATACTTGATTCAGCACTGACCTTTTTTTCTTGATTTCTCATAGGAAACATTACAGTAGAGCTGTAAGGAGACAGAAAATTTTATGATGTTCATGAAGCATTAGTATACTGCTCACATAAAGCTATCTTTTAAAGCACCATCAGCATCAATTTACTAGTATAAGTGCAATAAGAATTGAAATACACTTGTATTCGTTATTAACTGTCAGGAGTTTTAGGTTAATCAGCAGACAAATGTATTCTGTAATTATTAAGCCTATGAACAGATGGCCATTGACAGTGTTAGTGAGGCTTGTCATTTCCTAGAAACAAATGCTGGCATATTTTGCACATTTGCTGGACATGCCCCAATATCTGGGCAAAGGCTTTTAAAATAATGATTTGTAAAATACATGTTCAAAAAATTAATGTATTGAACTCTCGGCATCCTTTTCTCCAGTCCCTAAATTTAATCTCTGCTTTTGCTTCTCCAGACCCACACCGGTAATCCGCTGGATTAAAGAGGGTGGGGAACTGCCAGCCAACAGGACATTTTTTGAAAACTTTAAGAAAACTCTCAAGATTATAGATGTTTCTGAAGCTGACTCTGGGAACTACAAATGTATAGCAAGAAATGTATTAGGTTCTGCTCATCATGTCATTTCAGTAACTGTGAAAGGTAATACTAAAATAATCCTTAATATGATATTGTCAGTGTCCAGAATGCAAGATTGAAGTAAGCTTTCTAGGATAAAAGATGACTGAAATGATGAATGACAGTGGTAAAAAAAACAACCAACCAAAAAAAAACCTAAGGAAGTTATCATTATACTGACTGAGTTCTAGCACTGGAAGGACTTCACTCTTAATTTCTTTTTCTTTTTTTTTTTTTTTTTAATATGTTATTTTGTAAAGCATCAGGCTAAATTGAGATTATACTATAACAGTAGTAAAATAATTTATTAGTTTTTATGAGTGCTACATTTACTTTAGATCCTTTGTTTATCTGCCATTAGACTGCTTCTTTCCCTTGTTTTTTTAATCTTCTCCATCTCTCTTCTTCATCTCTTTATTTTCTCCATCTTTTCTGCTCTTCATTCATATAGCCCAGATTCTTTCTCTTCTCTCTTTTAATATTGTCTAATGGCCTTACATTCTGAATACCATGAAACAAAAAAAACCTGGAATGACAGCTAATTAATCATTGAAATAATCAACTGTAGTGCATCCTTTGCATGCTAAATAGCCATTTATGTTGTTGTAGACCAACGTCATTTTATGATCATGTTCAACCTCCTTTTTAAGAGCAGAAATATAATTTGCTGTTTGCATCTGTCCATCAGTTTAAAATCTGAAATTAAACTGCAAGATGTGATAACATATGCTGTTTGCAGTTATTTATTGTAAGAGATGGAGACATAGATGAGTTTCTTTTGGTAAGGACAGTATTCCATCCATTTTGATCTCTCCATGTTTTCACATGTCTCAGGTAAACATCTGGCCCCACTGCAATCACCCATTGACTTCAGCAAGACCGAGGATTTTGCCATTTCTAAATTTCACCATTGACTTGAAACCTTTTTATATAATCAAACTTAAATTCATTTCTAATGGCCTAACTACTGTAAGCATAGATGTCTCTGCATTAGTCAAAAGACCACTCTAGTCTCTTCAGATGCCATACTCAGATAAATTTTGCTTTCTTAAGGAAAGGCAAATTAGATTCAAAGCAGGCAGCCCTACATGAAACGAAGAATCTCTTGTTACTTACTTATCTCAGAATTTTAATGGAGCTGGTAACCAATAGCTCAGTTTAGCCAAATTGTAATGTACCAGTTAATCACTGAGTATTTTATATATATAAAATTAACAGTGTAAGTCTGTATCTATACATACCTTGTTTGAATTATTTTCTGGTTACCATGACTGTGCCTTATGATTATCTGTACATAATTTTGGAAGACAGTTGCTGTGTTTCTTTTCCCAACCCCAGCTGCTCCATACTGGATAACAGCGCCCAGAAACTTGGTCTTGTCTCCTGGAGAAGATGGGACATTGATCTGCAGAGCTAACGGCAACCCAAAGCCTAATATAAGCTGGTTGGCAAATGGCGTTCCCATAGCAAGTAAGATTCTTCATTATCGTATGGGAGGATGAGTAAGAGAATGTGAGGAATATCAGGGTGTTTTTTCAAATATAAATGAAGAGCATGTATTTGAGTAGTTTTTGCTTGACGAGTAATACTAAATTATAAATGAGGTGATAAAAATACTGTGGTTCATGGAAGTGGAAAAACAAAATGTACCTCTAATGTGCTTGAATGCACTAAAATTTATGACCATACTCCTGGTTATCCTGTCTGGTCTTCTGCTGGTCGTATCTTTATGGAGATGTTAACAGTAGCTGTTAACAAAGCTACTCCATGCCCCTTTGACAGGGATATTGCTGGAGTGTAATTTTTACCATTGTGTTGCTGTGGCAGTCGTGTTTGATAGATTTCTCCTTTGCTGCCCTGCTGCAACACTTACTTTTATCTAGAAATTGTAAAGGTGACATAAAAAGTCAATTCTGCACCTCTGTGGATGTACAGGTCATTTTTGCTGGATTTGCTGCTTAGAGTATGTTTGAGCCTTCCAGGCTTCAGCACTAAAGTGCAGCAGCAGCAAAACTCACTGAATGCATCAGCAAGTGCCTGGCAAACAGCTTGTGCCAAGCGAGTGTCAAAGAAAAGGAACCCCTAAGGCAGTGAAACAGCTGTTTCTGTGTGCATGGGTTAGGAAAGAAACTCTGAATTGGTGATTGAGTCATTTAATTGTTGCAGTGTTATGACTGACAGCACTGTAAGACAGACACAAGATAGCTACTATATATAGCACAACTTTACTTGGGGAGAACTTGCAGGAGGACACTGCAGTGTGTTGTCAGTTGTGTATTTACTCAGCACGGCCTGTATGGTAAATCACATTTGGTTTTTCTATGTTTATCCTTCCTCTTTCACAAGATGATCTTATAAAAACAGGCAATCTACCTTGTTGACTCGTGAGAGATAATGTGCTCTAAAATATTGTTCTGTGCTGACCTATTGAAAGTATGACAGTGTAACTTTCAGGAGTTTCAGGAGATGTTTAAGTCTGTTGATGAAGTAAATGTCATGGTGTTTGAGATATGGAGGAAGATGGTCTACAGTGAGAATCTAGGAAATAGCAACAGATAAATGAGAACCCTCATTAGATATATTCAAAATGTTTTGGATACAAGAGGCACTAAACTGGACTGGAGGGAAAAATATGCACCTTTGTGGGTGGAACATAGGGTATATATTGAAACAGAAAGAAATATTTTGCAAAGAACCTGTTTCAGGAATCCTAATTAAATGTAAGTTGAGATCTCTAGCCTGAGACTTAAAATGTGAAGTTTCCATTGGTTAAAAGTTATGTAAGCTGACATTAAGTACCTTGTGAAACAATGGTGTTACAGGAAAACAGGAAAATAATCATTTGATTTTGTTTTGTATATATTGTACATAAATATGTCATAATGCATGCCTTATAATCAAAGTTTAGTACCTGTCCTGATCTTTCCTTTCTGCGTTTTCAGTGGTGTCATCTTCCTTACTATTTTCTATATGGTTACCAGTAACTTTTTTTGGTTTCTTTTGAGGAGGTATCAGGAGGTATCTGTCCTGATAGTTTAACTGTTCTTTTCAGGCTTCCTGACTAGTAAAATATTTTTCACCTAGGAGATGCTGTTCAAAGGACAGATAAGTACATTTTCAAGAAAAGAAATGATGTGTTCTGCACTCTTGCAGGATAGCAGTAAAACATTAAGAAAGAGACTTTTCAGAAACAGCTGCAAGATGCCACTGAATTTCCCAAATATGAGGGCAGCATATATTGGCTGACTGGCCTTGAGAAATCAGTACACAGAGTCTTATTGAAGGGAACTCAGTAAAAATTAAGACACTTTAATTAAATTACCCACTCAACCTCAGTAGGAAGAAAAAAGAAAAGAACACAGAAAATAAGTAACTGGGTATCTCAGCCTTGTGTTAAAGGCCATTTTCACTGCTGAGAAAAACTGAGGTTTTATTCACCTTAAATATTTAAGTGCAAGTTGTTTGGATGCTCCAGTACACTGAGTCTGTCAGGGCACTTAAGAGAAGCATCACAATCACAAAAAGTGCAGTTCTTAAGCTTCTTGTGATTTTGTTTTATTCTGAGTTATGAGTTATCGAAAGCTGGTCTGGAAACTACTGAGTACAGTGTGCCTTTTTGTTCACTTGTTACTAAATTATAAAATTGAGCCCCTCTTCTTCCATCTGAATGATTAGTGAATCACTGTAAAAGGAAACTAAAGCAGCTGTTTCAGCTTCAGGGCAGTGCTGGGAGTCAATGGCAGGATTTCAAAGAAAAAGAGCTACATTTGAATTTCAAAGCCCTGCTGTCATCATATATCCCACAATGTGCCTCCTGTGGCCCAGTAATCTGTTTGCAATACTTTAATTTTCTATTGGAAAGCACAACTGGGAGATGTTTAATTCTTCCGGTTTTGTTTTTCCATAATAGAGTCAGGCATGGAAGGGGGAATATTGAAGAAAGAACCATTCGTCCATATCTCAAAGGGTGAGGCTTAAATACCAGAAGGGAAAAGGGAAGAATAAAGAAAAATGTGGTGTGTCTCATGCACCTATGAAAAAAAAACCTGCAATGGTGTAAATTTTGTTCCAGATTATATGAATCAGAGCAGAAAGATATTTTTAAAGGAGGATTTTAGGTTTCTTTGAAAATTTTAATTAATTTTCTTCAACAGTAATGCTTAAAAGAAAAACTCCAGCATGTCTGAAAAGAAAGCTGCTTCAGACACACTAGAGTGTTAAGGACCTAACCTTCGAATGTTTACTCACAGGAGTAATTTGAACTCACATGCACAGTCCTGTGGAGGTCAATTAGAAGTACTTTGGCAAGTAGCAATTGAAAGTTCAGGCCATGACTCTGGCTTGCCTTGTGCTTCAATTAACACTCAAGATCTACATTATTTATACTGCTGCATAATCCGTTGTGTTTTACTGCTTAGATATTCAGCATAGTTTTACAAAAGGGAAGCCATGCATAAAGTATTTCAACTTTTAAGAAAGTAACAAACCAGATTAATTGGGAAGGGGAAACACTTTAATAATTGGACTTCAGAAAGACTGCACAAAAGACTAATTTCTTGGTTCAGTGGTTTATAGTTCATGATAAACTATTAAATATTAAATACACATACTTAGATTTATACAAAGTACTGCAGTGAAAGATGCTATTTATCTTCTTTCAACATGTTCTTCACTTGTTTATATCACATTTCACATTGAATCTTAGGTTTTATTTAGTCTACAATAGTAATTATTTTGAATTTAAGGGAGAAACATTAGCCCTTATATTTCCTTCATGAAAGGCCTTGATAATCCCTGGCTCAGAATTTCGTCATCCATCATGTTCTCTGTGAGTACACACACAAGCTGTTCACCACAGCCACGGGAGGGTGGGGAGAAATCTGCTGGACTCTCATGCCCCAAGGAATTCAGTCTCAGAGAGGACTGCCAGGGCAGGCATTTATCCACTGCTTCTGGTAACAACCTGCTGTTCCTTTGGAGGTAATAGTACTACAGAATCAGAAACTTGGAAACAAAGTTTTTAGTGATCACATGAAAATATTTTCTGAGGAGCAAGTGAGATTAGTAAAAAAAGGCAAAGGACATCTTCTTCCATGTCCCATCTCTTCCAGAATGAAGTCTTTTTCAGTTCACTGTAAGGGGTAGAGGAAAGCCAAACTGGATTACTGAAATATCTTCTTTTTCTTGCTTCAGTTCAGTCTTGGTTTGACCCTATAGGTTCTCAAGGATCTGATGCCCTATATTGCCCATTCTTGCTATTTCACTACCAGTTTTGTATTCAACTCTGAAAGCATGGCTTCCATGCCAGTGAATTATTTTCAATCTACATTGGTTTTTAGGTTCTTTTAAAACCTCAGTATCACGGCATAGTTGAGGGTAAAAGGGACATCTAGTCCAACCTGCCTGCTCAAAGCAGGGTGTTATCTAGTTGATCAGGACTGTGTGCAGACAGATTTTTATTATCTCCAAGGACAGAGACTCCAACACCTCCTTTGGCATCTTGTTTCAGAGTCTGACTGCCCTCAAAATAAAAACTTTAAGTTAAAAAACCCACAACTCCAAGCAATGTATTTTCTTCCCAGTTTCACCAGAACTTAAAGATCTGAGCTTAAGTATTTAAAGTCAGTAGACCAGTTTAAAGTTGTAATAATTTTCTGCCCAAAATACATATATTTGTTACAGATCAGGCTGAAGTCTGTATAATTTATTTGGACTCATAACATTATATTATATACTGCATCATCTGTTGACAGTTGTTCTGTTCTTCATTGTGTTTAGCTTCCTGAATTTGCATAAATGCACATTGATCAGCAATCAAAATTGATAAGGAAAATTAAATACTTCAATAGAAAACATCTCACAAAATCTCGATTTTTCCTTCCAGTTTTAGCCATAATACTGTGTTTTAACTGCTGCTGTTCCGAAAGCACATTTAATTCTGTCTTTTTTTCCCAGGAAAAAAGGTAATAATGGTGTCATAGTGGTTATTTAAACATACTAACAAAAGTAGTTGTTTGGGCTGTATGAAGTTTATGAAACAGATGGAAGTATGCATTCAGATGAACAGAAGATATTCAGGGTGCTGATGACTAACTATGACAAAAGCGTGATGGAGGCTATACCTTCTCTGTACAGGAACATCTGTATGTGACTATGGAATCAAGAAGCTGTCATATTATACAAAATGATGGAAGAATTAGGTGAAACCAGGCAATCAAGTCTTTGTCCAGAAAGGACATAAACATGTTCATAAGCTGAGACTCAATGTTATTGGGAGTAAATGTTGACTGTTACAGGGCACGTGTAACTGTCTGTTACAGCAGCAGAATTCCTATAGCAAATCCTCATCAGTCATTATCCTGATTGTACAGACTCATTTCAGGTGTTTGTAGTTCTCTGCTGTTTTTATGTTGTTATGTAGTTCTTTGCCTATCAGTGCCAAATTCAGATTTGTCAAACATGTCAAAAGCATTTTCTCCTTTTCGTGCAGCTATTCTGTAATGTGACCAGAATCCTCGTAAAGGCAAACAAGCAGTGCTTGAGTGGCCCTGCCATCGCTTTTTTCCCCAAAAAAGTTTAAAAAAGGACATGGAAGGGGCTCAAGTACTGCATCCTTCTTTGCCTCAGTATTTACTAGCAAGACTGGCCTTCAGGAGTCCCAGGTTCTAGAGGTGAGGGGGAAAAACTGTAATGAGATGTACCCTTGATGGAAGAGGACCAGGTCAGGGAATACGTAAGCAAACTGGACATACGTAAGTCCGTGGGCCCTGATGGGATGCACCCACAAGTGCTGAGGCAGCTGGCAGATGTCATTCCAAGGCCACTCTCAATAATCTTTGATTGATCATGGTGACTGGGAGAAGTGCCGGAAGACTGGAGGAGAGCAAATGTTAGTCCTGTCCTCAAGAAGAGCAAGAAGGAGAACCCAGGGAACTACAAGCTGGTCAGCCTTACCTTGATCCCTGGGCATTTACAGGCACATTAGAGACAAAAAAAACATCAGGAGTAGTTAGCATGGTTTCACCAAGGAGAAGTCATGCCTGAGCAGCTTGATACATTTCTATGATTGAATGACTGACCTGCTAGATAAGGGGAAGAGTAGTGGATATTGTCTACCTGAACTTAAGTCTAGACTTAAGTCAGGCCTTTGACACTGTGTCCTGTAAGATCCTTATAGACAAGCTGTTGACGTATGGGCTGGATAAGCAGAAAGTGAGGTGGATAGAAAAATGGCTGAATGGCCAGGCTGGGAGAGTGGTGATCAGTGGCACAAAGTGTAGTTGGAGACCAGTAGCTAGCAATGTACTCCAGGGGTCAGTCCTGTTTAACATCTTCATTAATAATCTGGATGATGAGGCAGCAAGTTTGCTGATGACACAAAACTGGGAGGAGTGGCTGATATACCGAGGGGTCATACTGCCATCCAGAGGGATCTCGACAGGTTGGAGATACAGGCCAACAAGAACATCACGAAGGTCAACAAGGAGAAGTGCAAAGTCCTGCAACTGGGCAGGAACAACCCCATGCACCATTACATACTGGGGGCCATCCAGCTGGAAAGTAGCTTAGCAGGAAAGGACTTGGGGGTCCTGGTGGACATCAAGTTGACCATAAGCTAGCAATGTACCCTTGTGCAAAGAGGCTAATATTATCCAGGGCTACGATAGACAAAAGCATTGCTGGCAGATCAAGGGACATGATCCTTCCCCCATCTGGACCCAGTCCTGGGCAACTGGCTCTGGGTGGCCCTGCTTGAGTAGGGAGTTGGACCAGATGACCTCTAGCGATCCCTTCCAGTTTCAACCATTCTGTGTGCATGAGTGCAGCAGTGCATGCTTAAGATCATTAACACAGCTGGATGGTACAGCATCAAACTTCTAGGGTCTAACCCTGCAAAACACACTGTAGCACATGGCAAAGACATTTAGGTTCTGCTGGTGTTGTGTGGGAGGATGAGGTATGTCAGAAGACAGACTGTTGAACAGATGCCAGTCTGAACAGGGAGCTTTCTGACATCAGTGCCCTTCAGCATGCAAGAGGCTGGATCAGTCAAAGGAAGCACTGACTAACCTGACAATTTCCTCAATTTTTTTTTTTTTTTTTCTTCTTGGGACCCACAGCTTGGACCCTTCTTCTGAGAATAAGCACCTACCTCCTTTCCTTCAAATAACCGAAGAGGGATATCTTTTTTTTTTTTTTTTTTTTTTCCTTAAATACAGCAGTGGGAAGGGAAGGTGCTACCCTTCTTTTTATATGATAATTTAATGGTTAGATCATTCTTTTAAGATCCGGTTCTTTCTTCAGTCATAGAGGATTGAACTAATGGCTTCCATCTCTTTGAAGGGGCCCTACCATCAGCCTATAAGGTATTATGTATGGGACTGTGTGAGGGAGGGAGTCTGTGCACCCATCAAAACTCTGTCTGTGTGCAGAGAATGCTACAGGACTCAGAGGGCACAAGTGGAGGGAAGCCCAGAGCCTGGGGCAGGAAGTAGCCATGATTGGAGTGGTCGTGGGCGGATCTCCTACCTCCTGGGAGGGCGGTTGTGTGTATTTTCAATTTACAGTGACTTGTATGCAGAAACAGACCACTCCTCATAGCTGACTGGCCTGCCTGCTGGGCTACTCACCTGCTCTGTCTATTTTCAGCCCATGAATCTTTTAATGAAATGGCATTTATGTAGAATAGGAGGCAATGTGAAACGTGGAACACAATAGGAAGTAAAGCAAAAGAGAAGAAAAATAAGTGCCAGCAATCCAGAAGCCCAGAGAATAAGCATTTAAAATTCCAGTAGTACCTTTTTCTTCCTTTCCAAAATTTTTGAATTTGTGATATTGATTTGAACTCAGAGTGATGGAAGATAAGGATTAAAAATTGAGTCGAAAACTGTTCTTGAGGCATCTGTTTGGAAATTGATCTAATTACTTTATAAGCAAAATGGCCTTAGAGTTCACCCAAGATGGAAACATCCTTAAGCAGCACAGAACTGTGGTCCCCTTCATCTGTCCCCATTTATTCCTCTCTCTTAGAAAATTCAGTGACAGATGCTTCAGTAGATTTAAGAAAATCTAGGAGAAATTCTCCTTTTTCTTTACAGATGAGTACTAAGATATTGTCTGACTCAAAAGGCTTTACCACTTTAAAAAAATTATGTTAATTTAGTTAATTGATCTTTTCTATGAATCCAAAGAAATGAGAGATTATTTTATATGAAAATGCATTCTACAAATATAGTTATTTTTTCAAGTTCCAGTAGTATATACAGGTATCAATTGTGATGATGCAACCAAGCTATGATGCGTTTATTTATACATATATGAATTTATTTTTAATATTAATATATAAAGAATTTCAACATTAATTTTCAATATTAATAATACAATTATGTGTTTTGATTAATATTTACTTAAAATATTAAACTATAGTTTGTGTGGGTTTATGCAGTGTGGTGTTAGAAGCCAAGTTTTTTCTCTGTTGTACCTCTAATTCCATCCAGTTGTATCCTAACTGACAGCTATTATTCTCCAGTAATATCTCAGAATTTTCAGTTATAGTCTCGATTCTTCTGGGATGCAAGAACTCTTCAACAGCTCAGGCTACTACAGAACAGTTGAGGAAATGGCATTGTGTAAATCTTATAAAAGGGAAAGAGTGCCACCTACTGAAAAACTATCACTGCTCTTGATTTTGTGTGAAAGAAGTATTTAGTACTTATGTTTTACTCTGAGATAGTTTTCAACTGAGTAAAGCTATTTTTATATTTGGATAATTATTTCTGGTATAACAAATTATTTGAAAAGCTGAAGCCTTTAAGTCAGAGGATTGAAGAGTCATTCTAACATAATTTTCTTTTGATACTCTGAAATATTTCCTTATTTTTTCTAGCTATTATCTGTATTTGCCTGAATCTTGTCATATTCTTATTTTTCCTCTATAATGCATGCAAAATACGATCTGAGCTTTACTTCTTTGAAAAACAAACAACAACAAAAAACCCTCAGAAAATGGGAACTCTACCATGCTGAGTTAAATATTTGTAGAACTAGAAGAATTTCCTTAATCATATTGAAATTCATATCTTAACCAGTGAACAGTCACCCAGGAAAATACAAGAAAGGGCATATTGGTCTTTCACATTGTTTCTTCTTTTCAGAAGTGGGAAATGTATCACCCAACAGCAGTTTATGAAAAATATATTTTTTTTTCTTTACACCAACAGTTGCCCCAGAAGATCCTAGCAGAAAGGTAGATGGTGATACCATTATTTTTTCACATGTGCAAGAAAGATCAAGTGCTGTCTATCAGTGCAATGCTTCTAATGAATATGGATACTTGCTAGCAAATGCATTTGTGAATGTTCTGGGTAAGAAATGGATTTTATATTTTTCAGTTTTCTTGCATGTTCGGTTGTCTTCTTCTACTACATAGACTGCATACTCAAGCCTTGCTTGAGGTCTTCAGTGGGAATGGATGTATTTCCTGAGCCCTGTAAAAGGCAAGGGTATACCTTGTTTTTGTTAGGTTATTCCTGATTTTCACTTTCAGTTTTCCTAAGAAGGTTAGTTGTGAAAGCTGGGGAAAACTTGGAAGAAATTTTATCTCTTTTGTATGTAAACGTACAAATCAAGCAAACAGAAGCATAACAAATAAGACAGGAATTAATATTCCTTGAGTTACTGTTTTTCAGAACACTTTGATTGATTGCGGGTGTTTTGGATCAGCTCAATAGATGATCTCTAAATTGCTATGGCAAGGGAATGTGATTATGCATGTGTCTTGAAGGCCTCCCAAGAATGTTTTGTTGGGTTTTTTTTATCTACTAAATATTATGGCTTCTAATTCTTCTTGCTGAATTTAACAAAGCTAGTAGCAAAATCCTAGGCTGAATGGCATCCAAAGACTCTCCTGCAGGAACTGGCAGATTGTTTGATTGAGAAACACTGTCTTTTCACTCTCTTTGGTTCCATGGTTCCTTTAAAAAATGTAGGTGTTTCACCAAACACCTTAGCTTCTTTCTGCCTGCAGGTTTGTTCAGAATTATGTAGTTCAGTCTGTTCCCAGGAGTTTCTCTTCTTGAAGTACATTCTGATTTTATTTTTCCAAATGAAATCATTGCCTTTGGTGCCCATCCCTATTATTGTAAACAGGAAAGAAGCATTTGTTTTTCACAAGATAATTCTCCTATGTTAACATTTCATTAGGTTACTGGCAGTAGAATATATATGGACCTAGACTGTGACCAGAAATCACTTCAGAGAAGGACGTTAACATATAATTCTTTAGGCTGTTCTTGATGACTTAGTATTTTGTATTTGCATCATTGTATCTATATCCAGATATTTTTGTCTTTTCAGCTGAGCCACCAAGAATTCTAACTCCTGCTAATAAGCTGTATCAAGTCATTGCAGATAATTCTGCATTGCTAGACTGTGCTTATTTTGGTTCACCTAAGCCTGAAATTGAATGGTAAGCTATAGTTTTTCTTAAGTAATGTAAAAAGTGACAGTTACATCTATGGAAACAAACATTTAAAATTTAAAAACTATTTTTACACATATTTACAATTTAAAAATAGTGTATTTTTAAATATATGCTAATTACAATATGCTAATACAATATAACACCTACTGAGTATAACAACAGTGAAGTTATACCTACAGAGTCAAGTTTGAATTTCATTATGTGATTCTGTATTTTCTAATGTTGTGATCCCAAGTTTGCATTTTCTGATAATAAAATACAACAGAATTTAAGTATGTTGTTGGATAATGATACTACTTTTTATATAAAGGTTTAAGGGAGTGAAAGGTAGCATCTTGCGTGGGAATGAATATGTTTTCCATGATAATGGAACCTTGGAAATTCCGGTGGCTCAAAAGGATAGTACTGGTTCTTACACATGTGTAGCAAGGAATGAATTAGGAAAGATACAAAATGAGGTGCAATTGGAAGTTAAAGGTAAGAAATTAATCGATCTTTCATCAAAGGTTAGTATAGAATTCAGACTTTCTGAATATCTAATGGTAATTTTAAATTTCAGATGCAACAATGATAATTAAACAGCCAGAATACAAAGTGATTCAGAGATATGGCCAAGTTTCATTTGAGTGTATAATAAAACATGATTCTACCTTATTACCAACAATTATATGGTTGAAGGACAATGATGAACTGCCAGATGATGAAAGGTATGGACAAAATAATTTTCCTTTATTTTTAATTGTCTGGTTTCTTTTGTCTGCTCCTTTTCCTGATCTCTGAAAGGAACATGCTTACCTATGGACATTTTCCAAAGAAGACTGATAAATATCATCACTATCCCATACTTGGTGACTGAACGACTTGCCTAGTGTGGTGAAAATATTATGACAGAATTCAAAATAAAAAATGTAAAATTTTTTAATTGTGCACATTGCCCATGCATCTGAATTGTAAGGAGAAGATAATTGAAGCCCAAGGGATAATGGAAAGCTATTTTGCTCTACGTCACAGATAATAATAAAGTTGGTTTAGTATGTTTGGAAATAAAAGCACATTAAGATAGATAGTTACTGTGGGAAGATGATCAAGAGCAATGTCAAAAAGGCTGACATAGTCCCATAGCTTACATTGCTGTCTACGTATTTGCTGAAATACACAAGTAAATGGGATTTGATAATGTCTTATGATAAAAAATTGTTACACAAGTACCAGTTATTGAAAAATCAGTGGCTGAATCTGTTGTATTTACAGGTTTCTAGTTGGTAAAGAGAACTTGACCATTATGAATGTAACTGATAAAGATGATGGAACATACACTTGCATAGTTAATACTACTCTGGACAGCGTTTCAGCAAGTGCTGTGCTTACTGTTGTTGGTAAGAATACTCTCAAACTTTATGATAGCAGAACTGTGTTTAGTTACTGTTAAGTATCAAAACAGCATTGTATTTAAAATGAAAAGCACAAACAAAATTTTGGTTTCTAGGATAGGACAAAGGAAATATCACCTATTTGTAAATGTGTTTTCAGTTTTTTGAAAATACAGTCTTACCCTGAAGTTTGCTTTTTGAATCAGCTACTTACAAAATGGTCCAGTAGCTACAGAACGTACTCAGTTTCATGCTGCGTAGGTTTTTATTTGGATCACGTCTGAGCTAACACACTAGATTACATATTGCAGAGTGTTTGAACATAAACATTTTATCTCAGGAGTCTCTTTCACACCTAAATTATGCTTTAGGAAGACTGATCCTGCTTGGTTGAATAACTTTTCAAGGATTTTCTTTTGAAATAGTTCCCTCTGTTCAGTTTCCATGATTGCAGATTGGTTTAAAGTGTGTTATTTTACCCCTCTCACAATTTGTAAAAAAGTTTTAAGTAGGTGTCCTGAATTATTCTTACCCGAGTTCAAGTTTAGATTCAGAGTGAAGTGTGCTTGTGTTTTAAAATTGTGTTGTGATCTTATGCATATCCAGGAATAACATACACCAAACATCTAGTACTTATTTTAAAGTTTTTACAAGATTGCTTACTTTATTTATTTTCTTGATCTATCCTTTTTTAAAAAATGGATAAAATATCAATAATACTTTTATAACTTTTCAGTAAAAAATTGTCAATGTATTATTTAAAATCAACCATTTACTCTAAATAAATTAACTTTTCTTTGTCTCTAATAATTAGAGTCTTTAACTACCTGCAATATTCTCTTTCTTTGGCTACTAACTGATTAAATCCTTTATATTAATGTTCTTTTCAGCTGCTCCCCCAACTCCAGCTATCATTTACGGTAAACTAATGCAAAGTTCATTTCTACATCATCTGCCAGATATAATTCTCATTGCAAAGTGCAACATCTTTTTTTTTCTCTTTTTCCAGTGTTTTTGTGTGTGCGTGTGTGTGGTTTCTTCCCATTTTACCAACTGCTTCATTACTGGAGTACTGGACTTTGGAATTTTACAGTGCAGGCTGCTTTTTTAGGGAATAAATAATTTTCAGAGATAAATTCTTTTTAATTAAGGTTGGTTACAGTGTGATAAGGTTTTTCTCATAGAGAGCACTGTAATGCAAATTAATTATATAATAAATGAAAGATCTAAAAGGTAAAACCACCTGTTCATTGAAAGCTAATTCGCTATTAAAGAACTTGCCCCAAACAAATTGTGGTATATTTTTACATTGCTTTTGATGACAGCTTTATACGCCTGGTGTACTTTATTTCATAGTTCATTTTACTTCACTCATAGAATGGACAGGTCCATATTGACCAGTTTGTTTTATGATTGATGGAATTGCTGATAAAGACTTTAAAATTAAAGCTTAAATGAAAAAAAAAAATACGTCTGTCAGTCAGGTACAGTCCTAAATTTGACAGCATACAGCCTTTAATTTGGTGGCATTTTTTATGAATTTGAATTTTAAGATGCAATATAATATGCCTAAAACACTTTTAAGTGTGGGCAACCTAAGCACTTTTATGTAAATCCTGTCACATTCACTGAAAGTGCTTATGTATTCTTAAATGAACCATTTTGTTAGTCTTGATTTTTGTGTAACAAATCATATAATGAATAGTTTTCAGCAGTTTGAAATAGACAATTATCTCTTTATACATTATGAGGATGTCTATTAACAGCTAGCTGTGGATTTCAGGTTTTTTTTAAAACTGCAGCAAAAAATAAATTATTTAGTAACTTGCAATTATTTTCTTTTTGAACTACACTTGTTTTGTATTCACATGTAAAATATTTGTAGAGATTCTAGAAAAGCTTCTTTGATGTGAATGCTTCTTTATTTTCCATGTTTTAATAAATATTTCCAGCTACAATAGATAATCACCTATAATCATTCAAAGATAAACTAAAAAGGCATTTCATAATTCTTTGCATATTATTACATTTTTATATCACACTGCAATCAGACATAGATAACATCAAATATTGATTCTTGTTACTGTATAGAAGTTTCCAGATAGATCAGTTCTCCATTTTGTCTTTGTTTTGTAACAATTGCATGCTAATGGTCATTAAGTCATGCTTACGTAATTGAGTAGATCTGCTGTGCTGTATTTGTGGAATTATTTTGATTGGAATGTAAGAATTTTAAAGATGAAATTACGTATTCTGGTGTGTTCATTTGATTTACAGCTCGGCCAAATCCACCCTTTGACTTGGAATTGACAGGTCAGCTAGAAAGAAGTGTTGAACTCTCATGGATACCAGGGGATGAAAATAACAGCCCCATTACACGTATGTTTGTTTATACCCATTACATTACATGAACAGTATTGCGTTAACTATTTTCAGATTCCAAAGAGTTCTGAGATAAATTTTGTGTGAAGCATTGGTGAATCGTAAATTCATTAATTATGGTTACCATTTATTTGCATAATAAAAATTCACTAAATGTCCTCTACTGTACAGCCAAGCAGAAAGACTTATTTACTGCCCTTAAAAGCTGGGCTTTTGATTAAAAAACCTGTGCTAATTAGCATAGAAGTTGATAGTGATGTGAGCTCTGTCTGACCAGGTCAAGTCGTATGAGTATGTAGAGAGTAGACTTGTTCATTAGTTGAGTGAAAAGTTACTCATACATGCTCCTGGAGGAGCTACTAACATCTTGAATTAATTCATTTGTAATTTTACATGAGTACCAATATCTTTAGGGATTATCTATCACTACTGATACAGAAGTTTATTCTTCATGAAGATATAAGGAAGATAGTTTTTCTGTTTTTTTCTAGTCCAGACAGTTGAAGGAATGAAGCATATCCATAATAATATCCAAACAGAGAAAATAAACATCTATAAACTTTTGAGACAGGAAATTGGTCCAAAATACTGTTATTCCTCCTAGCAGAACATAATGAAGGATATCCTTGCTTATATGGAAGAGAGAGGATGGAGGGAAAAATTAGGAGGAAGTAAGAAAGTTGTTACTGTTTGTTTTCCAAAAAATAATAGGATCAGAAAGATTTATCAGGACAACATTTTCATTATGAGCAACTTAATGTAATTATTTAATTATTTCTGCCATGTATTTTAGTTAGTAGCTGCCACAAGTTACCAAGACCAGTGTACACATTACATTTGGAATGAATGAGTTAGGCTGACTTATTGAGTATTCCTCTCCAGAGTCCAGTGCTGGTCAGTATCAACACTGAGCACAAACCATAGGGATCAAGCATCTGGAAAGGAAGTTTTGTAAAAACAGAATTTCAGAAATTTCAGAATACATCAAAGATTTTGATTGAGTTTTACTGAAACACCAAGGGATTTTGCTTAAGTTTTACACTTTCAGACTTGTCTAATGTATATCAGCTTGTAATATACCTTTAAAAATACAATATATAGAAGTTTAATGTAAGTAGTTGAATTGTGTTTAAGTTATGGCTTATTCATACTCTTCTATCAGTATTTTCATTTTTTTCCAGACCACAAGACAAAATCTTGCCTTTCTGTAGGAATGAGATCGCACTATTTCAAAAGATATTATATTAGATGGTGTTGTCTTATGTCAGAGTTTTTCTAGAAGCAAGATATTGCGTGCAGTCTGATATTGCAAATTGAACTGTTCTGACTAAATAATGCTGGTTTTAATTATGATACAATTTATATTGCTCTGTGGTCCTCTGAGAGCCTGCGAAATAAGGCATTTCTTCATAAGTAAGCCTATTATTGCTGCTACTACTTCTATTACTTCAAAGTGCAGATCAAGACACAATGATAGCAATTCATTATGAGTGATCCCGTTACACAAGTAATACGATTGACATGCTAGAATCTCTCTGAAAGCTCAAATACATTTTTTTTTCCTTGAAGTCTCCTGTAAGTTGTTCTACTGGACTTGCAAGCAGAATACTAGTTACTAGGGAAGCAAAAAGCAGTAGTGAAAATTGTTGATGCTTTTCTCTTATTCAGCATGTAATATTCTCACCTTTTCAACAAAGACTTTGGTCCGGAAAACATCCCATCCCAACACCTTTGTCTCTGAGCACACAACACCCGCTATAACTCAAGGCAGTAATCTGGGGCCAGTTCTCCCTCTTTCGTAGTACTCAGGTCAGGATGAAATCTGCAAGAATTAAGTCCAGAAGGCTATAATTATTACTACTTAACTATTTTACTTCTTGAACATCTTGGCTTCTCAAATTGTTGTGCATTATTTCAATGTGGTGCTGTAAGTATTCTTCCAAAAGCAATTTCTAGATACCGCTCTGAATTTCTTTAGTAGTGCAAACAGGATGTATTCTGAGTCATATTCTGGCTTCTTGTCCCCACCCGTACATGGGACAGGGCAAAATTTTTGTTATACAGCAAACATTTGATGTGCATGTAAATTTTGTATAGCTAAACTTAAGGAATATACTCAGACTACGTATTCTTCTCCTGTTTATTTACTGTATCCTAACAATTCCCCTTAAGTCTTTCAAAATCCGTATCTTATACCTAAAAGCAGGAAGCTTTTTTGGCTGTTTCACAGCTGAAAAAAATTATCCTTTTGTCTTTGATAATGAATGTTATTTTCTTTTTGGAGTTCTACAAACCTATTTGTTCCTGAGGTTGTATGCTCTGTAGGGTCTTAACAGTAATCATCGTAATGCTCACACAGAGAACTCTCAAGAAATTTAGCTTCTGAACATGCATTTCTTGACTTAATTTTGAAGATACTGAAAAGTGCTCTCAAAAACCTTCCTCAAGTATTGATTCTTGACTTTAAATAGTGCTTCACTAAGCCAGTCTCATTGGGGAAAATGTGAAACTTGGAGAATTTTAATATCATACAGATACTACTTACTGTCAACTTGATACAACTAAGATCAATGTATTTGTCAGCCAAATATTACTTTTACATCAAAATTCTGGTTTTGTCCTACTTTCTTGCTGTGGTAGTTCAAGGGTTCCTGTTACATTGAAATCCAGTACTTGAGAGAGAGCTCTTATAATAACGTGATACCTGACAGGTAGCTGCATTAGTGAGAATACAAAATAATAAAATTAAGAGTGTTTCTATTATATTTCTACCTAGTCAGTACTTTTGAGATCAACATTACACATTTATGTTCTAATTTATGTACTTATATTTAAGTTTCCATTATTTTTAAAAACATTTATTGAATCAATCCTTTCTGATTAGCTCATTCAGAAATGTCTGCACTTATCTAGGAAGGTGTTGCAAGTTAGGACATAAAGTTGGATTCAATTTCTGTTTACAGACTTTGTGATTGAATATGAAGATGGGCTGCATGAACCAGGGGTATGGCATTACCAGACGGAAGTTCCTGGAACTCAGACAACAGCAGAGTTGAAATTGTCTCCATACGTCAACTACTCATTCCGTGTGATAGCTGTCAATGAGATTGGCAGAAGTCAGCCGAGTGAACCATCTGAGCAGTACCTGACAAAGTCTGCAAGTAAATAACTATTCCAGCTTACCAGTGACTGATTTATACTATGAATGGCTTGGAATTGCTTAAAATGCTGTTGGAATTGCTTAAAATGCAAATAACAGTCATTCTTGTTCATGTGTAAATGTTTTATTTTTAGACCCTGATGAAAATCCTTCTAATGTACAAGGGATAGGCTCAGAACCTGATAATTTGGTAATAACATGGGAGGTAAGTTTGCTTTTTCAAGGTTTCATTTGTTTGTTTTCAGGTCTATGAGTAGCTTTTTTTTTTTTTTTTTTTTTTTTGAGAAATAATAATGATCTAACTGTGAACATGCTATGAGAATACCCAGTGTATTGCTTGCTTAAAGTGTTATTGAAAAACAGCAAAATCCAGACATTTCCCTGTCTTCATTTTCAGGGAAAAGCTGCAGTCATTATGAAAAAAAAAAAAAAAAAAAAAAAAA